TTCAATTACACAGAATCAGCAGCATGCATGTCATGTCTGTTGGGTATGTTGGAATTTTATTACTCTATTACACCTGCTAGTAAATTACTTGTCATGTAGAAATATCATTTCTACCAAAAACAGTGATTGATCAGGTTAGTGATGTCTGACTGCTATTATTTTGAACACAACTGTATATAGTGGCCATTTCTGCACTAGCCATATCCATCCCAGCTTCTTCCTTCCAAACGTTTCTAAATCTTTCACATACTCTGTCACTGTCTCTTTTGTTCCTTGATTACAAGCAACAGCAGTTGCTAACGATTTCCTACTCTTCCATATTCCCTCCATCTCGGCTGTCACCTCCTCCCACACCTTTCTCTGAGTGTCTTCCTTCAGCCATACATAAGTGGCTGCCGGGGTTCCAGGATCAACTAGAACATATACTGTAGGCACCTTTGTCTAGTCAAACCCTGAGTCCATGCCATATCCCAAAATTCCATCAATTATTAATTTCATGTCCTGCTGTGAGCACTGTCTGCTTCATGTAACTCTCTTCTCCTCCTCATCCTCCCTCTCTACCCCTCCCTTCTCCCTTCCTCTGCCCTCAGAGATCTGAAGAAAAAAAAAAAAAATTCTCCCTTTTAGGCTGGGTTATACTTTTGTATAACTTGTCGGAGCAGATGGTGGGGGCTAAAGAGTGGAGATTTGCATTACTGAGCTCTGGAGTATAACCAGGAGGCATATTTGAGCCAGTGAAAACCTGCTTCTTTCAGATATTTCATCCCATAACAATACCGTTATCACATATTCCTCACAAGTTAACCTAGACAATTCAAGATATATTGTCTTTTTTTTTTTTTTTGCAATATCATGTAAAACTTTACGCGGAAGCTTACAAATGTTTGGGTAGAGATCCCTTACCTTGAATATACTCATCTTTGAAGAAAAAACAGCTGTTAGGCAAAGCACTAAAATATTACAGTGTCAATACTTGTTCTCTGAAACTGTAACTCAGACAGAACCTTCTCAACAGTTCAGGAGTTTAACACTTAAAAGTATGACACTTGTAATAAACCTATAATGTAACAAAAATTATTACTTAACAGTTTCGTAGCACACAGCAAATAAGCACTTATACTTCTAAAATAGCAAAAATAAACAAGGATTGTGAATTCACAATATTATACCTGCCTAGGCAATTGTTCCCCAGAGGTTCCCAAAACCTATGAATTCCTTTTGAGGTCCAACCTCAAAGACTCCCCATGAGATCCACCAATCTCAAACAGTAACTTTAGCTACTATCCCTGGTCTTAAAGGGGGACAATCCAGGTAAACTAAGATGGGCTCAGCTTACCTGACCGGCCACTCCTTTAATCCCACTTCTGACACCAGTTGATAGGAATAAGCCTATGTCTGTAGCCAAGAACCAGCAAACACAAATGCTCCTGCGCTTGGGGATGGACTCGATGCTACAACCACATTAAGAATGTCCTGGAACATGCACACCTTGCTGCCCTCAAATGGACCGGGGGAATCCAAATATACTGAATGGGGAAAGAACAAAAAGAGGGCGCACAGGCCTAGTGCATTACCATAAAAAAATGTTTAATAAAAAATAATAAAGTAGGTGTTGTACTCACAAACGACAATATAGTCAAGGCACATCATAAAAGAACAGCTGGATCAAGACCGCGCTGAGTAACAGTCCGCAATAGGGAGTTTAGACATCCAAAAGGCTGACGCGTTTCGAGGACTTGCCTCTTCCTCAGAGCCAACACAACTCTGAGGAAGAGGCAAGTCCTCGAAACGCGTCAGCCTTTTGGATGTCTAAACTCCCTATTGCGGACTGTTTACTCAGCGCGGTCTTGATCCAGCTGTTCTTTTATGATGTGCCTTGACTATATTGTCGTTTGTGAGTACAACACCTACTTTATTATTTTTTATTAAACATTTTTTATGGTAATGCACTATGTCTGTAGCCCCCTGTCCTCATTTTCCCCACTAGGCCTGGAGAAATAAAGCTTCAGACACCAAAATGTGCAAGCTAAATCTCTGAAAGTTTAATGCATAACAAGAACTGTTATACAGAACTCAGTAGGCGTTGCTTAATCTTAGGATGACTAATGAAACATTACATTCTTATCAATAGAGTTACGTGAAGAACAGAAACAGAAAATAACTGAGGGATACCATATAAGGTAGTTCCATTTACAGTGAAATAGAAACTGTTCTCAGAAACAAAAGAGGAGTTACAAAAACGAAACTAACTATTCACACATCTAGAAATGGAGGCATTATACAAAATGGATAACAGTTAAAACATAATTCCTTACAGCCTTGAAACCAATTTTTGATTTATATGGATTTCTTTGCGGGTGAGCACCTTGGCAATTATTTCAAACATAGAGTGTCGTAGATTTTATATATATATATATATATATATATATATATATATATATATATATATATATACACACACACACACACATACATACATACATACATACACACACACACATATATATATATATATATATACACATATACATACACACACACACACACATACACAGTGAAGGACATAAGTATTTGACCCCCTGCTGATTTTAAATGTTTGCCCACTCACAAAGAAATGATCAGTCTAAAAATCAATTGGTAGGTGTATTGTAACACTGAGACAGAATAGCAACAAAAAAGTCAAAAGAAATGCATGTCTAACAAATTATGCACTGATTTGAATGTTCATGAGGGAAATAAGTATTTGATCCCCTTCACAAAAAACATGACTTAGCACTTGGTGTCAAATCCCTTGTTTGCAATCACAGAGGTCAGACGTTTCCTGTAGTTGGCCACCAGGTTTGCACACATCTCAGGAGGGATTTTGGCCCACTCCTTTTGGCAGATCCTCTCCAAGTCATTAAGGTTTGGTGGCTGATGTATGGCAACTGGAACTTTCAGCCCACTCCACAGATTTTCAATCGGATTAAAATCTGGAGACTGACTAGGCCACTCCAGGACCGTAACGTACTTCTTCTTGAGTCACTCCTTTGTTTCCTTGGCCGTGTGTTTTTTGTCATTGTCATGCTGGAACACCCATCCACGACCCATTTTCATTGCCCTGGCTGAGGGAAGAAGGTTCTCACCCAAGATTTGACGGTACATTGCCCCATCCATCGTCCCTTTGATGCGGTGCAGTTGTCCTGTCCCCTTAGCAGAAAAACACCCCCAAAGCAGAATGTTTCCACCATCATGTTTGACAGTTGGGATGGTGTTCTTGGGGTCATAGGCATTATTCCTCCTCCTCCAAACACGGCGAGTTGAGTTGATGCCAAAGAGCTCGATTTTGGTCTCATCTGACCACAACATTTTCAACCAGTCCTCCTCTGCATCATTCAGATGTTCAGCGGCAAACTTCAGACGGGCCTGGACATGTGCTTTCTTGAGCAGAGGGACCCTGTGGACACTGCAGGATTTCAATCCTTGTCGGCGAAGTGTGTTGCCAATTGTTTTCTTGGTGACTGTGGTTCCAGCTGCCTGGAGATCATTGACAAGATCCTCATGTGTAGTTCTGGGATGATTCCTCACTGTTCTCATGATCATTGACACTGCACGAGGTGAGATGTTGCATGGTGCACCAGACCTAGGGAGACAGTTGTTTTGTGTTTCTTGCATTTGCCAATGATTGCACCAACTGTTGTCACCTTCTCACCAAGCTGCTTGGCAATAGTGTGGTAGCCCAGTCCAGCCTTGTGTAGGTCTACAATCTTGTCCCTGACATCCTTTGACAGCTCTTTGGTCTTTGCCATGGTGGAGAGTTTGGAATCTGATTGTTCGATTGCTCCTGTGGACAGGTGTCTTTTACAGAGGCAACAAAATTAGATTAGCAACACTCCCTTTAAGAGACTGCTTATAATCTCAGCTTGTTACCTGTATGAAAGGCACCTGGTAGCCAGAAATCCTGCTAATGATAGGGGATCAAATACTTATTGCCCTCAAGAACATGCGAATCAGTACATAATTTGTTCGACATGCATTTCTTTTGAATTTTTTGTTGCTATTCTGTCTCTCAGTGTTACAATACACCTACCACTTGATTTTGACTGATCATTTCTTTGTAAGTGGGCAAACATTAAAAATCAACAGAGGGAATCAAATACTTATTTCCTTCACTGTATATATATATATATATATATATATATATATATATATATATATATATATATATATATATATATATATATATATATATATATAAACACACTGATTAGTCATAACATTACGACCACTGACAGGTAAAGTGAGTTAACATTGATTACTTCATTACAATGGTATCTGAAAGTGGGTGGGATATATTAGGCAGAAAGTGAACATGTTGTTCCTATAGTTGTCATATTGAAAGCATAAAATAATTGGAGCATTAAGAACTGACCGACTTTGACAAGGGCCAAATTGTGGTGGCTGCATGACTGGGTCAGAACAACTCCAAAACTGCAGCTCTTGTGGAATTGTTCACAGTCTGCAGTGGTCAAAAGGAAGGAAAACAGGCAACAGGGTCAAGGGTAGCCAAGGCTCACTGGTGCAAATGTGGAGTGAAGGCTGCCTCATGTAGTCTGATCCAATAGAGATGCTACAATGGTAACACTGGTACCAATAGAAAGGCGTTAGAACACACAGTACATTAGTTTGTGGTGTATGGGGCTGTGTAACTGCAGACCAGCCCATGCTGATCTGTGTCCAAAATCAAAATATACACAGTGATCAGTAAAGTCATAGCGTAAACAGAATTACACCATTGACTACATAATATCGGTGGACTAGCCCTTTAATACTGCAATTCGGTGCAGGATACTGCAGAACTATTTTCACACTGATAACTTAGCATTTACTATGATAAAAGGTATTTAGGTTTTTCAAACCATTAAATAGACATACTAGCCATTTCACTTATTTTACACACATACAAGAGCTCATGCAGCAAAACAAATTAATATTTAACAGCAATGCATACCATCTAGTCCTCACCCAACAGAACAGCTCCTGTACATTACTCCACTTGCAAATCGCACTAGGACCTTGTCAACAATTCTGATACACTCACCATTTGAAGATTTCTTTGTGGCCCCTGCAGTGACTGTGTGATTCTCTGTCAACAGGTCTGTTTCCACTTCTTCTTCATCCTCATCTTCTTCTGATTCCTCCAACTCTCCCCATGCATTTCCAGCACCCTCTCCAATTTGAGCAGTGCCAGCAGCCCAAACAACCGGTTTTCCACTTGTAAAGAATAGCTAAAAAGAATAACTCTCTCTGAAATAAATGCTACGATTATCCATTTCAAGTAGTTACGCTGCGTTTGATCCCAGGGCAGGTCTTTGCTACTTTTCTGGATCCCAGCAAGATCTCTCAACCTCGGCATTGCTTTGACAGACATTTGTCAACTCCCATTTTAAACTTGAAAAATCTGGAGCCATCATTCCACTTTTCAGTGGATGATTGTTGTTTACATTACACAACACTGTAGGAATGTTCAGTTTAACCTGCCACCCCCTCCCACAAACATAACTCATCCCCTCTAGCTAATAGCTCCAAGAAAAAGAAAAAATTAATAGCCATAAACCCTTACCTAAATCTAGTCAGGTGTCACATGGGGAAACCTAGCCTTCCATTTTCTGGGCTGCAGGCTGAAAGGGTCCAATTTTACATGTCCACATCATTGCCTGGATGAGGAGGACACACCATGAGCTGTCTAATGGCAGGGTTCACTCAGTCTCCAGGAGACTGTTGCAATGTGAAGCTATCACAAAGAGGGGTGGTACAAGACTGGTCAGCAGCAGGGGATCAGGTCTCCAGAACTGGTCAACAGCCTCCATTCAAATAAAAGGGGCATCAGAAGGTCACATAATGGTGATCTCTGGTGAGCTTAATGGGCCTGCATTTTACAGGCCATTACAACTGTGATGAAAAGCCTTCAGTATTTCTGCTCAACAGAGCATAAATACATCTGTGACTGAGGGGAAATCTGGACACATCAACTACTTTTTTTGTTTGAATGCATTTATTTTAGTAGCAACCCAGACCTGCAAGCACATTTGCAAAGCATTATGCTTTAAAAATGTGTCTATTTTGGAAGCAGCAGTATATTTGCAGTAAGGCCACACAGCTCCTTTATAAATGGAGTGTTTGTGGCAAGTCTATTTTTCCTACATTTATTTTTAAGAGTATAACTGCCCAAGTGACATATTTGTTATAAAGGATACACATCTGATGGAGGCTCCGATTTACAAATGATCTCCTCAGCTTTCTCTTCTACATCTGTTGTATCTACAGGGATTTTTTCCACCTTTAGAGCAGTTATTTTCTGATCTGGAAGAGACTCAGCAAAGCCAAATTTACCTCCCTCCTTTCTGTAAATAAAAAACAAAACAAAAAAACAAACCATAAAACCCACAAATAATGACATGCACACCATTCAGCTTCATCATTTCCACTGCAAATCTAGGCTCACCTGGCCTTTCGATCATTCTCCAGGGCTTTCTGAATCAATTCGGTAATCTCAGCCACCTTAACGCCAGCTATTTTGCTGCACCTCAGAACCTGTTTGAGACATGGTAGGTATGACACTAGGTAGGTTTACACTGCTTCGAGTTCAGGTGTGACATGCGATTTACAAATTGCACCTGAAGTTGCATCTAATGTAATTCTATGGCACTTAATAGGTGTGATTTCAAGTAGCCTGATTTGAGAAATAGGTATGTATTACTTTTTCAGCACTTCAGTGATTTAACGCTCATAGACTATAAGGTAAATGACACTGAAATCGCACATGTGTCTATATATGCGCTTTAAATGGGTCCAAATTGCACTACTTTGAAATCGCATTTGGTGTGAACCAGTGCTAAAAGTACTCACAGACATGGGTTGATGACATGTGCCTGGTCTGGCCATTTTGTAACCTGACACACAGCACAGCGGTACCTGCAGGCCATGTCATTCTATTCACATATATACGACATGATGCACACAAAATATATATATATATACATATATATATATATATACATACATATATACATTTACATACATTTACATACACACACATAAAGCACATGCCCTTATCTCTTGCGTAAAAGCACATAAATAAATCTATATAAAAAGGAACCTCCCCATGCTGCAAAGAAAAGACATATATATTATATATATATATATATATATATATATATATATATATACACACACACACACACACACACACACACCCACAGTATGTATATCTATCAACCCCTTCCTCCTCATGCAAAAGCACACATGTATGGGCCCCTTCCTCTCCATGCCCCCATGTAAAAGCACACATATGGGCCTCTTTCTGTCTATGTTCCTGTATACAAGCACACACACAAAAAAAAATAGCCCTTGCCTCCCCATGTAAACACACACACTTCCTCATAATGCTGCTATGTAAAAGCACATGTACATGGGCCCCTTACTCATGATATCCCAATGCAAAAGCTCACATACATACCATGCATGCCCCTTCTTCCCTATGCACCTCTGTACAAGCAAGCATATATGGGTCCTGTCCTCACCATGCCACTATGTAAAGGCACACACACATATGAGCCTTTCTCCCTATGTAATAGTACATATACAGACCCCTGCCTAAATATGCCCCTATGGGTGGGAAGATGCACATTTTCTTCTCCCCCATGCTCCTGTGTAAAAACACACAAGTATAAGCCCCTTCCTGTAACAGCATACATAGGTCACTCCCTCTCCATACCCCAATGTCAAAGCACATATTGATCTTTCCTCCTTATGTCCCCATGTGAACATACACACAGGCACCTTTCTCCCCATATACAAGCATATATGCCACCTTCCCCCATGTAAAATCACACAAATATAGACTTTCCACAGGTAACAAAATAAATAAATAAAAAGGAAGAGCTAGAACATGTTTTATAGCTTCTGTCTCACATTGATTTAAAATATAAAATATTTAGCCAAGACTGACCACAACATTTATCAAGCACTATTTATTTTCCCTCAGCATCTATATAAAGGAACCAGGAAATCACAAGGATTAGGATGATTTACATCACATAGCCTAATGAAAACATAGCTTTCAGCACTTTTATTCCCAGTTTTGGAAATCTGCTCATTAATAAAACTAAGTAACAGATATTAGAACTACTTCTTGTAAAGCTGGCCATACATTACACAATTTGCTTTAGATTCACTTTCAACTATGTAGTGCAAGGGCCTGCCTGATTGCACACAAATTGAAAGCGTTTAGGTTTGACCACATATTATATGGCTTTGGTAAATCTAAAGAAAAATTGTACAAGAAAATTGTACAATGTATGGTCAACATAGAGCCTTGTGATAACAAAATAACTATCTTGTATAGTTGTTAGTTAAGTTAAATCAACCAGCCTCCTGAAAGTTGTGAGATCACCAAATATGTATCACCTGTTCTTTTAGCAGCATGATTCCCCCACTTGATTGTATAGTACAAATTTCTCTGTGCTTGTTCATTGCAATCACCAGAAGGCCATCCATCACCCGTTCCTCCCGTTCACTAGGATCTACCAATAAATAAGTGCTATATGCAAAATGAGCAAAAGTGAATGCAAAAATATTACTGCACAAAGTAAACAATGTGTTTTAAATATAAATAACAAAATTACTGGTTTAACTACAAGCAAGGTGTTCTTATATCCAATTTTTACATATTTAGCCAACATAGCTACAAATGTTTGCAATGTATATGAACAAACTGCCAGTATGTAGAATAGCTCATGGAACCTATGACCAAGTTTTACATAAGTGACCATTCATAATATATTTATGCATACTCAGGCATAAAATAATACACACATGCACACAGCTCAAAAAAAAGCAAAGGAACACTTTGAAAAACACATCAGATCTCAATGGTGAAAAATATGCTGCATATCTACACCAATATGGGCTGGGAATGTTACGAATGTAAGGGTGACCCATCGTTTGATGGAAACGAAAACTATAAACCTACAGAGGACTGAATTCAAAGACATCCTGAAAATCAAAGCGAAAAAATGATGCAGCAGGCTAGTCCATTTTGCCCAAATGTCATTGCAGCAACTCAAAACGGTACTCAGTTTGTATGGCCCCCACATGCTTGTAAGCATGCCTGACAACGTCGGGGCATGCTGCTAATGAGACAACGGATGGTGTCTTGGGGTATTTCCTCCCAGATCTGTACCAGGGCATCACTGAGCTCCTGGACAGTCTGTGATGCAACCTGGTGGCGTCAGATGGATCGAAACATGATATCCCAGAGGTGTTCTATTGGATTTAGGTCAGGCGAGCTTGGGGGCCATTCAATGGTATCAATTCCTTCATCCTCCAGGAACTGCCTGCATACTCATACATTGTCGTGCAGCAGGAGGAACCCAGGACCCATTGCACCAGTGTAGGGACCGACAATGGGTTCAAGAATTTCATCCCGATGTCTAACCTGTAGAGGATTGTGCGTCCCTCCATGGATATGCCTCCCCAGACCATCACTGACCCACCACCAAAACAGTCATGCTGAACGATGTTACAGACAGCATATTGTTCTCCATGGCTTCTCGAGACCCTTTCACATCTGTCACATGTGCTCAGGGTAAACCTGCTCTCATCTGTAAAAAAAAAAAAAAAAAGGGCGCCAGTGGTGGACCTGCCAATTTGGGTGTTGCATGGCAAATGCCAATCGAGCTCTATGGTGCCTGGCAGTGAGCACATGGCCCACTAGAGGACGTCGGGCCCTCAGGCCACCTTCATGAAGTCTGTTTCTGACTGTTTGGTCAGGGACATTCACACCAGTGGCCTGCTGGAAGTAATTTTGTTAGGCTCTGGCAGTGCTCATCCTCTTTCTCCTTGCAAAAAGAAGCAGATACCGGACCTGCTGATGGGTTAAGGACCTTCTACGGCCCTGTCCAGCTCTCCTAGAGTAACTGCCTGTCTTCTGGAATCTCATCCATGCTCTTGTGACTGTGCTGGGAGACACCGCAAACCTTCTGGCAATGGCACATATTGATGTGCCATCCTGGAAGAGTTGGACTGCCTGTGCAACCTCTGTAGGGTCCAGGTATCACCTTATGCTACCAGTAGTGACACTGACCCTAGCCAAATGCAAAACTAGTGAAAAACAGTCAGAAAAGATGAGTAGGGGGAAAAAAAAAAAAAACTGTCAGTGGCCTCCACCTACAAAACAATTCGGGTTGTCTCATTGTTGCCCATCTAGTACACCTGTTGTTAATTTCATTAACACCAAAGCAGCTGAAAATGATTACCAACCCCCTCTGCTACTTAACTGACCAGATCAATATCTCAGGAGTTTCAGAATAAACAATCTGCACAGAATGTTGTGTGGTCATACTTACACACTGTTCTGTCATGGCCAAACAAGAGCCTGAAGGGTCTCTTTAAAGAATAAGTTCACCAATAACTAGTTCCCATTTGGCCTATAGACAAATGACGGCTGGGCGGGAGCTCTCTTGTTCTGAATGGACTTCAGATGGCTTTCATTCATGCCTTCTATTGTGTACTGAAAGAGCAAAAGATCCGCTCCAAGTGAGTGCCGAATCTGCATAACCCCTCCAACAGACAAGCAGGTGGTGGCCCAATCCAAGATCACAGATGAAATCCTATATTGGAATCCTTTTCATGCAATATGATAAGAACATGACAGATCCAAGGGTGGCAGATGCTGAACAAAAACTTATCCTTTAACCACTTGACCTCCAGAAGGTTTTACTCCCTTTATGACCAGGACCATTTGTTGCTGTTATGCACTGTGCCACTTTTAACTGGCAATTGCTCAGTCATGCACCACTGCACCTAAATGAAATTGGCAAAGGCTAATTACACAGTACAAGTAGTCAAGTGCCATATCATTGTCGTGGGCCAATCACAGATCAAAACAGTAAGTAAGCTGTTCATGAATGGAAAGCTATTAATTACAGGTTGGTTACATTGTTATCATGAGATCGCTGTGACCAATCATAGCGATCACGGGTAACATTGATTCGCTGTGTCTGGTGGATACAGCGGTCACAGGAGGGGTGCTCCTAGACCGAAGCAGGCACAATATCTCTCAGACTCAGACAGACACACACACACGACTAGGCCTGTACGTGCTGCAGCGGGGCGACAAGTGGTTAAACACCAAATCTGTAGGCATATGTTAAGACCCATGTCAAAATATTACTTATCAGAACATAAATTGCAGAGAACCACAGAAAACACACTTTTTGGTCAGCAAAGCTGACCTAACAGAGAAAATAGTGATGTATTTTCTATTCTTCCATTTCTTACCCTTGCTGGAAAAAAGCAAAGCTGACACAAATGGGCAAGTGATGGATGCTCAGTGGAACAGGGTCCCGTTCTTCTACGGAATACTAATCCAAATAAGAAAAGAATTCCACAATTTTAATTACATACAGTATATAAAAATTGCTTAAATAGAACTATGATTAAACTTGTACAAAAGTATTATTTCTAAAACAAACCTGCACTTTACCCATGAAGAGCAAAACAAAAGGAGCAATTTACTGCCGACCCCAAGAGTAGCATATACTAGCCTTCATTCTACACCCCCAGCAAAAGCAATGAGGGAAATCCCCCTATACGTCACTCTGGTCATTGGATCACACAGAGCTAGAAACGATCTTCCCACCCCTATGTTAACAGCACTGGTGATTTAGCAAGCACATAGGGGGAAAGGAATGGGTTGCATGGCTCCTCCTACACAAAGTGCTGGTTAATCCAGTGGTTCTTAACCTGGGTTCGATCGAACCCCAGGGGTTCGGTGAGTCAGTCTCGCGGGTTCGGCGGAGGTGAAGACCCACACCCGACTCATATGATTCGTGCAGTAAATATTCATTATTATGTTTTTGTGTGAAAATCATGTTTTAATGGTTTTGTTCTTTGTTCTTAATGGTTTTGTTCATTTTGTGCACCTATGTATAAATATATACCTAAATATATACCTATGTTTTGAATTTTAAAAATCATATTTTATTTTTCCAAATAAGAAGGGTTCGGTGAATGCGCATATGAAAACTGGTGGGGGTCAGTACCTCCAACAAGGTTAAGAACCACTGCTTTAATCTTTCCTGGTGCGAGTGAAGAAAATATGCAGGGGAGGATGGCATTAAAATTAAATTCACTGCTTTGCCACGTTTACTCTTTCTAAAGAGGAATAAGAATCAGCAGAGCAAAACTATATAAAAAGATAAATATTTCAGAAATATCCTTAAACAGTTACAATAATTTAATAAAATTATTTGCATAAGACCAGTTATGGCAGGGTCTCGAAGTTAATTATATGACAAATGTTAACTCTGTTTCAGACTTAAAATTTGAGATTTGCCCCCTCATATGGCTGGGCATTACAACAAACACTTTTTTTGGTTTAAGGACTTGCGAATACAGTAGATTTCTTATGGAAAACAGATTACACTTCAACGTGTAGTTAAAAGACAGAAATCACATATAACTGTTTTAAATAACTTTATATTAAAGCACCTATTCCAGTCTCAAGGTGTTATGGCTCACATTTACAGTTCTTCAGGCTTCCAACGTTTTATGTAGATTAATTAAACTGCCTTTATATACAGTAGAATTAAACGATCAAAGATTTCAACATATTTGTGTAGCGGCAAGTCTTCCCAAGGCAACACTTCAACTTTCTTCATGTAACAAAAATATTAGTTACAAATACACAGTATAATCCAGTGATTCAGCTGCTTAAATAGCCTTAGGGATAGTAAGGCTAGGTAATGCTGGATGTCTTAAAGCAGCGGTTCTCAACTTGTGGGTCGCGACCCCTTTGGGGGTCGAACGACGCTTTCACATGGGTCGCCTAAGACCATTGGAAAACACATATTTCCGATGGTCTTAGGAACCGAGACACCGCTCCTCTGTCTGTCTCCAGGTGTGGGCGGGATGACATGCCGCCCCTGTCATCTGGCCACACCCCCGGGATCAATCCTCGCCAGTGATTGGCCGCCGGAACTGTAGCTCAGGAGAGGCACACAGGCGGCCAATCACCGGCGAGGAGGTGGAGCTTGGAGAGGAGGAGCCGAGCGGCACCGCGAAGATCAAGCGAGTGAAGAGGAGCAGAGCGGCCGGAGAAGGAAGACAGCTGACCGGTAAGTGTCTGTACCATGGGAGAGGGAGGGAGCGAGCAAGCCCAGGCTGGAGCAGGGGTCAGCAAGGTAAGTATCATTGGTGTCAGTGGGAGGAATAGTGCCCAATCATTGGTGTCACTAATACCAATGATGGGGCACTATTCCTCCCTCCACTGACACCAACGATGGGCACTATTCCTCCCTCCACTGACACCAACGATGAGGTACGATTCCTCCCCCCACTGACACCAACGATGGGGCACTATTCCTCCCCCCTCTGACACCAACGATGGGGCACTATTCCTCCCCCCGCTGACACCAACGATGGGGCACTATTCCTCCCACTGACACCAATGTTGGGGCACTATTCCTCCCACTGACACCAATGTTGGGGCACTATTCCCCCCCCTGACACCAATGTTGGGGCACTATTCCTCCCCTGATACCAACGTTGGGGCACTATTCCCCCCACTGACACCAACGATGGGGAACTATTCCTCCCACTAACACCAATGATGGGGCACTATTCCTCCCACTGACACCAATGATGGGGCACTATTCCTCCCACTGACACCAATGATGGGGCACTATTCCTCCCACTGACAACAATGATGGGGCACTATTCCTCCCACTGACACCAATGATGGGGCACTATTCCTCCCACTGACACCAATGATGGGGCACTATTCCTCCCACTGACACCAATGATGGGGCACTATTCCTCCCACTGGCACCAATGATGGGGCACTATTCCTCCCACTGGCACCAATGATGGGGCACTATTCCTCCCACTGGCACCAATGATGGGGCACTATTCCTCCCACTGGCACCAATGATGGGGCACTATTCCTCCCACTGGCACCAATGATGGGGCACTATTCCTCCCACTGGCACCAATGATGGGGCACTATTCCTCCCACTGGCACCAATGATGGGGCACTATTCCTCCCACTGACATCAATGATGGGGCACTATTCCTCCCACTGATACCAATGATGGGGCACTATTCCTCCCACTGACACCAATGTTGGGGCACATTTCCTCCCACTGACACCAGTGATGGGACACTATTCCTCCCACTGACACCAGTGATGGGACACTATTCCTCCCACTGACACCAGTGATGGGACACTATTCCTCCCACTGACACCAGTGATGGGACACTATTCCTCCCACTGACACCAGTGATGGGACACTATTCCTCCCCACTGACACCAGTGATGGGGCACTATTCCTCCCACTGACACCAATGATGGGGCACTATTCCTCCCACTGACACCAATGATGGGGCACTATTCCTCCCACTGACACCAATGTTGGGGCACTATTCCTCCCACTGACACCAATGTTGGGGCACTATTCCTCCCACTGACACCAATGTTGGGGCACTATTCCTCCCACTGACACCAATGTTGGGGCACTATTCCTCCCACTGACACCAATGATGGGGCACTATTCCTCCCACTGATACCAATGATGGGGCACTATTCCCCCCACTGACACCAATGATGGGGCACTATTCCCCCCCACTGACACCAATGATGGGGCACTATTCCCCCCACTGACACCTATGATGGGGCACTATTCCCCCCACTGACACACCAATGATGGGGCACTATTCCTCCCACTGATACCAATGATGGGGCACTATTCCTACCACTGACACCAATGATGGGGCATTATTCCTTCCACTGATACCAATGATGGGGCACTATGCCTCCCACCGATACCAATGATGGGGCACTATTCCTCCCATTGACATCAGTGATGGGACACTATTCCTCCCACTGACACCAATGACGTGGCACTACTCCTCCCGCTGCAAAATTACAGTTATTAAGTAGCAACGAAAATAATTTTATGGTTGGGGGTCACCACAACATGAGGAACTGTATTAAGGGGTCGCGGCATTAGGAAGGTTGAGAATCACTGTCTTAAAGCCATAAAATATGGGGTGCTTTATCTGACTTGTTGCAAGTTCTAATGCACACCGAGAAGCCCACGTTGTGCAGTGAAATCAGAGTAAGCAATTACAGTCAAGGAAAGGAGCCTGTGCCATTGTGAAAGACTGAAGGTAAGGCTGGAGTTCATGTTTCAAAGAAAGTATGATAATATCCAGATGCAGTCATGTGACTTCAATGCACAGTGTACAACCTGCGCTCTTCTGCAGTGCTATAAACATTGTGTATAGTAGAATGCTACATAACTAAGCTCCATTTAATGCTGAACTAAATTATTAATATATCTTAAATAGACTATCTTTAGATAAATTTTTTTACGCCAAAAGTATTTTATTAAAATAAAATTTGCTAAAAAAAAAAAAAATCATCGATTTTTATCCACCCTGCTGCATTCACTATATCTGGGCTCCCGTAATACACAGAACATGGAAATGAAATTATTTTTGTAATTCTAAACTGCTATACACCTTTTCTCATCAGCAGTTAGAGCAGGCTTGTGACTTCTATCAGTGTCTGAACGAGCACTGATTAAAGCTTGTAGGAGGAATTTTTTTCTGCTTTAGGTGGATGCAGGACCCCTGACCCTCTGTCTGGACAGTGCTGATTGGCCCTGTGCTGATCACATGCACTCTCCCAAAAAAAAAAAAAAAAAACTTTCTAGCAATACACACTAAACTGAGCATGTGCAGAGTGACTCCTAGAGCTGTGTGCTATCAGCAGATAGATTGGGGACAGTAGAAGGGGCAGATCAAAGAAGACTGGATCAAACAGCCTTTTACACAATGCGGAGCATTAACCCCTTAGGTTCGACAGTGAATATAACAAGCATGCTTTACTGCATATACAGATTGATTTTTACTGTTGTGGGTTTAGTAACACTTTAAGTGAATAAATGAAAATCAACAGCAGGAAAGGGACACTCACATTGGCTGAGCAGATCCAGATATCTCATACTGGAATTTTATAAGAAATCACTAAACAATGTGCAATAATCTGTATCCGACTCAACTTGCAAATATGCTTTCAAAACAGATTCTTACATAAATGATAACAAGCCTTTGAAAACGGTTCCAGTATATAATACCCACCACAGTGACCTCTTCTCCTTGGACAGATACATCTGGCCTCCGGAAGTGAGAAAGTGCTGCAATAGCCGCTATGCTTGCTGCATCAATTATGTTACCTTCATGATTTAGTAAATGTAAATCAACACGAACCTGCCACACCTGCAGTAGGGAGGAGTGTGAAAAACATGAAAACATTACAAAGAGGCAACATTTAAAACTGCATGCCCCAAAACGTGGTTTCTGCAAAAACATTTTTTATATTCCACTCTTTTCTCTCACTAGTCACAAGAACACTTTCCTCCAATACCAGCTATAAATCTCAACAGTCTGACAGCATATGATATGTGTCCTTCCCCTTCCTTTAGATTGTAAGCTCCACCAGCAGGGCTCTCATATTCCTTCTGTACTGTCTCCCTTATATTGTAAAGCGCTATGCAAACTGTTGGCGGTATATAAATCCTGTATAATAATAATGTGTCCCAGTATCCTAATGCACACAGATCTTAGACGCCGCTTATACAGGCATCCTGCGGTTTTTTTTGTGCCTGTAAAAGCACCTCTAAGTTAGCCTATGTAGCCATGCAGGTGTATTTGAAGAGGAGTGTTTACACACAAGAGGAGCTTTTGAGCAGGAAAAAAGAGTGTATGTGCATATGCACATAAATTAACTCCAATGGTTACATTAACATTCTGGCCATACAAGTTCAAGCACCATATACACGCATGCATTACAAGAGTTTTTCCTACAAAATTCCAGCAAAATACTGCCTATTTTCATAAGCCCCCTGTGCATGATGCCTTTATGGCTGCCAAAGCACCAAACAACCAGTGATCTTCTTCCTACGCGTGGACAATTTTTATTTGGGCATGAGCTGCAAATGTATCTTTTTTTTTTTCTATCAATAAGAAAAAAAAAACATTCCCTAAATTGTTGTGGAATTTCCAAGCACAATTAAATACAATTATACTCATCTGTAACAGGTTGCATCTCTGGTGAAAAATAAGAATGACAAAAAATGTTTCCAGAAACACTAGGGATATATGGGAAACATTATCCGATGTCCATAAAAATCAGAATAAAACATCACAGCTAGTATTTAAAGTGATATTAAAGGGAAATTTAATTTGCTTTAAAAAGAAAATAAACATGTCATACTTGCTTGCTCTGTGCAATGGTTTTGCACAGAGCAGCCCCGATCTTCTTCTTCTCGGATCCCCTGCCGGCGTTCCAGGCCCCTCCCTCTTGGCAAGTGCCTGCATAGAAAGCAGCTTGCTATGGGGGCACACAAGCAGGCTCAACCAACAAGGAGGAAGAGTCTCCGGAGGGCCTGTGCCCTTATGTACACGCTGATCAAGAGGGAGCTCAAGTAAGTATTGGGAGGGGGGGGGGGGGGTTCTCAGGGCACCGCTGCACACAGAAGGTATTTTTACCTTCATGTATAAATGCATAAAGGTATAAAACCCTGAGCTTTTACAACCACTTTAACCCCAACAACCAAGGTACATTTTTCTGGCTTCTGGTTTGACCAAACGTATTAGCACTACTACATAACAAAAATATAAACAAATACATACCACAACTTGTAACAATTTACCCACCTTCTCTCCTGCCTGAACACATAATGACTCAGTGTCAATACACCTGGAATTCCTGAGGCACCGCTCCAGCAGTCTGTTAAGTCTTACCACAAGTTCTGATGGTCTAAAATAACAAAGGTAAGTTTAAGCTGACCATACATTGCCAAAGGCTCTCTTCAAGTAAACGTGTTCTGCCCATGCAGGCCAAAGAAATAGTCATTTAAATTAACAACTTTTCCAGTAGGATGTAGTTGCCTTTGCTTCCTTCTAATACTGGCTGCAAAGAAAATGACAGCATTTTCAGGTACAGGCAGATGTGGCTGATGTCCCTTTTTCTCAAGTCACAGCAATTGTGCCTTGCATTTGCCCACTCAAACACCCAGCACTGACATATTGGATAGGTGGAGTGTCCAGAGTCCCGTGTAAGCTCCAGGTCCTGCAGCTTATTCAGGGCTTCCGCTCTTGATTTCTGGTGGCTGAATGGAGCAGTGGGAGAGCAAAAGAAAAAGGAGAATGTGCAGCTGGATGGCCTGGCAGTAAAGTGAACCTGTTGCTCTGCCCAGCATGGGCAAAGCAGAGGTGCATTTTTTCTGAAAGAAAATTGTAAATTAAACAAATTATTGCATCATAGATCTCAACAGACCTTCAATACCCCCAGGAGTAATTTGCTAGATCAAATAATTTTTACTATCTTCCAGCAGAGATAAGCCAGCATTTTACTAGTAAGGACAAACCAGGGATCACCTGACACAACAAACAAGAAATATGCATGTCTGGAAACAAACCATCAGTTATCAACTTTAAAATAACCATGATTCATGCACCTCCATTAACTACTTACATTGTATCTAGCACATCACTGTTTTCTATGTTAGCCGAATGTGTAGATGTTACTGCATATTACATCTACATGTCCTCATGCATATTAACTTCCCTGCATGCTTAACCATTTGCTGCCCGGCCAATGGCCGTTTGGCAGCCGGCAAAATCCCTCAGCGTTCCAGGTGGATGCCATATGGCGTCTTCCCGGGCATGCGCAGTTTGCGCGCCTGCAGGCGCGATCTGTCACCGGCCGTGTACCTCGGACACGGCCGATTACAGATCTGAGTACCGGCCCCATTGCCAGTACCATGTGATCTGCTGTGACCAATCACAGCAGGCCACATGACAGTTGTATACAATGGATGGCTTCATTCATGCCATCCATTGTATACTAGTGTGCCTAGCTGTGAATGGTCACAGCGATCACATGCACAAGCTGGGCCAATCACAGCCCAGCTGTGTCATGTGATTAGCCGTGGCCAAATCACAGCTAAGCACAAAAAAAAAAAACCCTGAATGAAGCAATGTCATTCAGGTAAATGCTTGCTTATAGCAAAGTAATTCTTTGCTATAAGCAAAATGTGTAAAAAAAAAAAAAAAAAAATACTGATCACTTCCCCAAAGTAGTACAGTGTTACTATGGTAACATTGTACTACTTTGGTCATAGTGAAATATGAAAAAAAAAAATCTTAAAAAAAAGAAAAAAAACCTAATAAAAAATAATAAAACAAATAAAAAAATGTTTTTCATACTGTCAGTGTCCCTGATCACCGCCATGCCAGTTATATGATAACGCTGTACTGCACTGGTGACAGTATGTAAAAAAAATTGTGAAAAAAATGTTTGTAATTTTTTAATTTTCTGAAAAATTATGACAAAAAAATACAACTTCAAAAAACTCGCCATTCCTCTTATGAAGTACTTCGGACTGTCTACTTTGCAAAAAGTGGTCATTTGGAGGATATCTGTACTGTTCTGACATTTTTGGACCTCAAGAAATTAGATTGGCCGTCAGTACTTCAGGATTGATCAATTTTCAGATCTATACCATAGTTTGTGAACTCTATAACTTTCCTACAAACTAAAAAATACATCCTAATTTGGGTATTTTCACCAAAGACATGTAGCAGAATACATCTTGGCCTAAATTTATGAACAATTATTTATTTGCAAACGTTTATAACAGAAACAAAGAAAAACGTGTTTTTTTTAAAATTTGTGTTTTTTTATGTTAATTTAGCAAAAAACAAAAATCCTAGCGGTGATTAAATACCACCAAAAGAAAGCTCTAGTTGTGTGAAGAAAATGATAAAAATTTTTTAGTTTAGCGCAATTGTCAAATGTGTGAGAGAGCTGAAACCTGAAAAATGGCCTGGGCAGGGAGGGGGTAAAAGTGCCCAGTATTAAAATGGTTAAATTACAAGCACTGGAAAATAGAATGGGTTAATGTTTTCACCCAAGGGTCATCCAACTTTCACAAATGTTTCTAATAGAATCTTATGTGAAAAATTTGTGAATCTCAGGTGATTTCCAAAATATCTCTCAACACCTCTCTGATTAAAACAATTACAAAATCTTCACTAGGTGGTATATTGCGCCTACAAGAATAGTGGCCTTTGTAAAAAAATGCCTTTCCTAATTGCTATAGAGGGTGTAGAAAGTATGGCACATTACTTCACACGTGGTGAACTTTACCAAAGGTCCAAAGATTCTCAATTAGAATCTATAACTTTATTCATTCCATAAACCAAAGTAAATTCCCCCAGAGGCCCTTTTGGGCAAATCCATCAGGAATGTCCACAGACCTACCAGAAAACTGTCTGCATATATTTTTCCATAATAGTAATAACTATGTCATGGAAATCTTGCTTTGATCTGGTTAAAGCAAAAATCGCCCACGGATCATGGACAAACTATTGGTAATACTAAGCAATGGACTACTTCGACAAGGTCTGGGACCCATGGGTAAAATACCTTTCTACAGACACATCATAAAGGAGACTCACTTCCCATGAGACATCTCCTTTCTTACTCTCTACATTTCCCTCATTTTACCTAAACCCAATTATTCCCCTTTTCCTTGTTTACCCTAATGGAAAAACAGACTGCATGAAGTTTTCCTCCACACAGTTCAATAAGGCAACCTCATTTAAAATAATATGAATATTTACAAACCTATTTATCATTGTTTTTTATGACTGCAGTGCAGAACCATATTATTTCGGCTATGAAACTGATTATAGATCTCAACATCAAAACATAAATGTGTTAGGAATGTAAGGATGCCCCATCGATTGATGGAAATGAAAATTATAAACCTACAGAGAACTGAATTCAAAGACACCCTGAAAATCAAAGTGAAAAAATTATGCAGAAGACTAGTCCATTTTGCTGAAATTTCATTGCAGTAACTCAAAATGGTCCTCAGTAGTTTGTATGGCCCCCATGTGCTTGTATGCATGCCTGACAACGGTAGGGCATGCTCCCAATGAGATGACGGATGGTGTCCTGGGGTATTTCCTCCCAGACCTGGACCAGGGCATCATTGATCTCCTGGACAGTCTGAGGTGCAACCTGTTGGGGTTGGAGAAACCAAAACATGATATCCCAGAGGTGTTTTATTGGATTTAGGTCAGGCGAGCATGGGGGCCATTTAACGGTATCAATTCCTTCATCCTCCAGGAACTGCCTGCATACTCTCGCCACACGAGGCCGGGCATTGTCGTGCACCAGCAGGAACCCAGGACCCACTGCACCAACATAGGGTCTGACAATGGGTCCAAGGATCTCATCCCGATAGCTAATGGCAGTCAGGGTGCCATTGTCTAGCCTGTATAAGTCTGTGCATCCCTCCATGGATGTGCCTCCCAAGACCATCACTGACCCACCACCAAAACAGTCATGCTGGAATGATGTTACAGACAGCATAATGTTCTCTACGGCTTCTCCAGACCCTTTCACGTCTGTCACGTACTCAGGGTGAATCTGTTCTCATCTGTGAAAAGCACAAGGTGCCAGTGGCGGACCTGCCAATTCTGGTGTTGCCATTGGGAAAATGCCAATCAAGCTCTATGGTACCGGGCAGTGAGCACAGGGCCCACTAGAGGACGTCGGGCCCTCAGGCCACTCTATGAAGTCTGATTCTGATTGTTTGATTGTCAGAGGCATTCACACTAGTGGCCTGCTGGAGAACATTTTGTACAGCTCTGGCAGTGCTCATCCTGTTCCTCCTTGCACAAAGGAGGAGATACCAGTCCTGCTGATGGGTTAAGGACCTTCTACAGCCCTCTCCAGTTCTCCTAGTGTAACTGCATGTCTCCTGGAATCTCATCCATGCTCTTGAAACTGTGCTGGGAGACACTGCAAACCTTCCGGCAATGGCACATATTGATATGCTAACCTGGAGGAGTTGAACTTCCTGTGCAACTTCTGTAGGGACTAGGTATCACCTCATGTTACCATTAGTGACACTGGCCCTAGCCAAATGCAAAACTAGTGAAAAGCAGTCAGAAAAGAGAAGTAGGGAAAAGAAGATCAGTGGCCTCCACCTGTAAAACTGTTCCTGTTTTGGGGGTAGTCTCATTGTTGCCCATCTAGTGCACCTGTTGTTAATTTCATTAATACCAAAGCAGCTGAAAGTGAATAACAACCCCCTCTGCTACTTAACTGACCAGATCAATACCACAGGAGTTTAATTGCTTTGATGCTATACTCTGATTCAAGTGTTCCTTTACTTTTTTTGAGTAGTGTACATCTGACCAAAAAGAGATGTACAAATACTCAATTAGTCCTGTATTCAGTTTAGGAGGATCACTCTCTATCTGGTACATGGCAACTTTAGACCTGGTAATTCTGTATCATGCCAAGCTTTGCCCTGTTTCAGTCTAAGCAAACAACTTTTTTTCAATTTGTCACTTTGCCTAAAACAATGACTGGAGGAGTTTTCAACTACAAGAGTAACATATTGTTTTTAAAGTCTAACCAGGTTTTTGTTACTCTATATCAGTGGTCTCCAATCTGTGGCCCTTTGCTTGCTTTTATCCAGCTCTTAGGGCACCATTTCATCCACTGATACCAACAATGGGGTGTAATTTCCCCCCACTGACACCAATGAAAGGGCACAAATCCTCCCAATAACACCAAAAATGGGGTCCAATGAAATCAATGATGGGGAACAATTCCTCCCACTGACACCAACGATAGGGCAAAATTCATCCCAATGATACCAAAGATGGTGTCAGTGTTTTTTCCCCATTGATGTCTGGACCTTTCATACTCCTACTGGCCACAGTCTGGTCCCCCTAAATAATGAAGGACAGTAAACTGTCCTTTTGTTTAGAAAGTTTGGAGACTCTATATAGTTGTTTGGTCAAGCTGTCCACGTTTGTTTGGATGAAGCTCCTGTCAGTTCTGTATAAACAGTATACCTGAATACAGTGCTATGTACTGTATGTAGCTCATGCTACATACAGTACACAGCACTGTGTTCAAGCAGCGGTAAGAGAACTTCCTGTCCCCAAAACAATATCAAGTTGGACTGCTCAGCCAGTCACAGGAAGTCTTGTACTTTTGTGAATGAATATAAGACTGGCTGACGTTAAGATTGTGATATCATTGCCCACCTCAGCCAACCAGAACAAGATTTGCATTTTCATAAAAATACAAGATGTCCTGTGAATGGCTGAGCAGAATGGGACAGGAAGTCCCTGCACTGTTCCCGAAACACAGCGCTATATAATGTACATAGCTGAAGCTACATACTGCGTTGACAGCAGCCATGTCTTTTAGTAAAGGAAATATTTCATTTGGACATGTTTGGCACAAATTATTGCAACACAAAACTAGAAATTTGGCTTTAAAATTATGTCCTTATGATAGCTAAATAAAGGTCAATAATTTGTGGGCTTCTTCAAAAAGTATGTTTTCAAACTTCAAGATTGTTTAGATTAATAGGAGTAGTTGGATAAATAATTTAAACACAATGTGAAAATTAATATACAATGTAATTTTAAATTGTGACCATAGATACACTTTTAGTGTCGTGCAGAAGATGGAGCTTCACTTGTTCTCAATATACTGGATAAATTCACTATTATTACCTTCCTGGTTCAAATGCTGGAGATGCCATAGCTGTGAGTTCAAGGTTGAAAAAAAGAATTCCTTCAGTTGGGCGGTTCATCTTGGGAGCCACAAGCTCACAGGATACCTGTCCAAGAACTCTGAAAAAAAAAATGTTAGCATCATTTCAGTGTATGGACATATGCAGAATGTCATTTGTTGTCTTTCATAATACAGTATTTTAAAAGCACTTATACATGCAAATGTCATAATACAGCATTTTAAAAGCACTTTACTGATACATGTAAAATTGTCTTTAAAAAAAAAAAAAAAAAAAAAAAAAAACTAAATTCAAGAACAAAAAAATGTAATACATTGTAGCCTAAAAGTTGGTGGCTGCATTAACTTTCTTTTTTCAAGTTTTTCAGCTAGCACATAAATTGCCTGTTGCGTCTACCAGAAATGCAGTGTCCTTGTCACTCACTGTGAGATGAACTAGAAGCAAGCACTTTACAGTGTTCTAGAACAGCATATCAGGATAAAGCCTTCTCCCACAGGACAGGAAACACATTGTCAAGTCAAAGGTTAAAGGAGGTCCTTCTGACATCTTCACTAGTACCCCAGAGAACCAAAAGATGATAAAACTTACTAACTAAAAAAAAACATAATAAGGCCTCATGCACACTAGACATTAAAAACGCCCTTTTTAGCATTTTACGTTTTATTTTCTGCCTCTAAACGCCCCTAAATGTTAGCCTGTGTGTCCATGCACACATGTTTACAGGCATTTAGAGGCAGAAATAATCCCCCACTGCCAGTGTGCTCAGAAGCAGCAGCTTTTTGGCAGGAAAAAAAAAAAAAAAAAAAAAAAAGATTAATGCACCTCAACGTTCGGCACATTTAGAGCTTGAGCATTAATTTCAATGGTCAGAATAAATTATTATCCATGCTAATTAAATGAATTAACACCCAAGCGCTTGACATGCCTAAACGTGTTTACAAAAACATGGCTTTGGGTGTGTTTTTGACGTTGATTTTCCTGCAGGAGAAAGACATTCAGGAAAAGCATGTACGTGGTATAAACAGGATCAGGAACCTGGGCTGTCCTGGAAAACTACTGAAAATAAAGTTAAATGCAGGTCTGAAATCCCCAGTCTTCCAGGACAGCATTTTGAGAGAATGAGCAAGAAACTTACCAGGCTTAGGAAGGGACCACCACCTACAAGAAGCCTCTTTGTCTTTGGTCTAATCAAAACTTACTGAAAAGGTCTACCTCAGCAGTCACTAAATGCAGACCGTAGTCCGACAACGGCCCGAGCAGCGCTGCCACCTGAACCGCCAGCCCACCAGGCTAGAAGACATATCCACCGCTCAGAGGCCAGTCATCCCAACAAGCGATGACATCACGCGTGACCTCTGAGTGGGTAGCCTGTGAAATCTGGGTGCCACATTGGACAAAAATCCAGGCAACATTGCAAGTATGATGAGATCATCAAATAGAAGTAAAAAGGGCTCCCAAATAGAAATAGTTGGATCTCAAATATCTTACAAGCAGTAGTAACAGCCACCAAATGTGACGACTTCAAGGTTAAAAGCCTGATGTTGCCTTCTGCAATTGCACTTTCAAAACAGACAAATTCCACTTATAATGCTTGGTGGGCATTGGTCTAGCTCAAGCTGTAGAAAAAAATCTAAATAAGAGGTTCAGAGCCAAAGATTTTGCCAAGAATACACGAACTGCTGTAACCTGAACTTTTAGCTTACTGATGGCAAGTTCCATATTAACTCCATTCTGTATAAAAAAAAAAAAAAAAGCCAAGATGGAGAGAATATTTGGTGATAGATATTCTCTTTTTGAGAGATTTTCAGAAATTGAATGTCTTCCAAATTTTTGTGGTAAATGGCCTTCATGCGACTAGCAACAAGGGTACTAATCACTTAAGACCATTGATCTAGGAGTTGCTCTTCAGAAACCAAGCTTCATCCACATTCCAAAACGTGGAACTGAAATTATAACCTTCAGGTTCAGCAGTTTCTAAGAAGAAGAAAACAGGGCTAATCAGAAAAGTTAAAGAAGAATGACCTGACATACTGTTTCCTGTCTGGCCTGACAGATATTTTTTAGGCTTTGTCTCCTTGGATGCATCCCAGGTTTGCATTTCAGACCGTGCGTGCATGTGTGTATTTGAGGTCTGAAATGCTTGTGACCTTCTTGGCCCTGAATTGGAAGCTACCCTACGGCTGAGAAGAAAATTATATATATAATATATATATATATATATATATATATATATATATATATATATATATATATATATATATATATATATATATATATATATATAAACAAAAAAATATATTTTCCTATCAGCCGTAGGGTAGCTTCCAATTCAGGACCAAGCAGGAGGTCACACATGACAGTCAGGCTAAAAAAGTGAAGTTTAGACACCAGGTTGATATGTTGGCAAAATTCTTCATTGTAAAGGAACAATGGATCAAGTGTTTACCACCCACTATTTGTTTTGACTCGCTCCCAGGGTGTGCCTTTTTTCTCTCTAAACAGATTTGGTAGCACAATAGCAGTACCCTTCCCTTTATCAGGGGATGAAATCATGTGATTTAATGATGCAACGCATTGAGAGGAGCCAGTGATGTCACGCGGCAAACCAGGAAGTGTGTGCTCTGCCATTTTGTTAGATGACTTCAGGACACTTTCTGAAGGCAGGTCAGCCAACTCATTGTAGACAGTAAATACCTGTCCTGCCCACTCCATAAGCACCAAGTTCATAGCCGACACAGGGCACAGTGCCAAACCATTAATGCTAAACAGTGCAGGCAACTGTTTCTGCCTTACAGTTCACAGAATCATTAAAGGAAGGAGACTCTTTCAGTGGAAGCATGGTTGCCTTATTCAAGATAGAAATGGGGGGATCCACAGTTTCAGAAGGGCCTCTTCCAAAGGGAAGCATACTGAATGTCACTTTGGAACCCTGAAAGGTTTCTGCGGTTGTTCCCATACTTGTGGACAAATGTTACAAATAGGGGGGGAAATGAAAACAGTATTCACCTAGTCAGCTTATGAGCACTTAAGGAAATGGCTACTTTACTGGTAGCCCACAAGGCATCCTCACTCTACAACGTTCGCCTCCCTGAGGCAAACAGTGCAGCCACCAGTACTAGCCATTGCATGGCAACATAGGCATAGGCCTCATCCTCTCTTGGAATAAGCATTTAACATCCTACATAGTGCTGAAAAGAGTTGACAACGCAGCATTCTCCTGTAGCAAATGCACAGCAGGATCATTAAATCATGGGGCGCGACGCATCAAACTGTGTCTGCCCACCCCAACATGGCTCATGGCAGACAACAGTAGTAGACAAACCGGTTACTGCCATGCAAAGCTGCAGGGGAGGCTCTCCCTGTGTGCTAGAGCAGATTGCAAAGCCAAGCCATTGAGCTATGGATTTCCCTCCTTGCCCTTTAACAAAGGAGGCAGGATAGAGGGAGAAAATAGCCCAAAGCTAAACAGTGGTCACAACCGCCCACACCAGGTTCTGCCCCCCAGCACCGACCCTCACGGCCTGCTAAGCTGGATAAGGGTCGGTGCTGGGGTGCCAAGCTAGAGTACGCCCCCAGTGCCGGAACCAAGCACTATGGGAAGCCACCAAGGCTTGAGCGGACCCCCTGGCCCAAACCAGGGGCCACATGCCCAGCTGGTGACACCAACAGGGCTACCTACCACAGCAGCACTGCATCCCTACAGCAACGCCCCAAGATAAGCGCTTCAGGCCTCACAAAGGCACAGACCTCGTGGAGAGTGGGGGAACACGCCAGAGGGACAGACATGGAGGGGAGGACAAAAAGCCCACAGGGCTAATCACCCCATACCGCGTCAGGGAAGGGAGGAGCATCTACTTACCAATCCACGGAGGTAGTGGGTAACACTCCCGAGAACGATCCAACTCTCCATCAAAGTTGGAGGGGGCTGTCAGCCAGGGTAAAACGGACGGTAGGTGCCTGGTCATATATGTGTCCCAACAAGAAGTTTAACTCACTGACCCCCCTGATCAAGGATGGGGCTTATCGCGGCCGACACAGCCCTTAGCTAAAGGTCTGCGCACGCTTCTTGGCCAGCAGGGAACCAGGTCCTTACTCCTGAACACTAGGCAGAATAACTGGCTTTCTTGCAAGCACAGAAGGGGTTTATACCAGCTAGGACTGCCCATAGGTGGTACTGTGTTCCTGCCTAGTGTCCTACTTCTGTCGGTAGCACTATAAACCCTACTGGTCAAGAACAGAAGAGCTGTGTCAGTCAATGAAAGTAAGAGAAACGTGTTTACCAAACATATATAAACTAATGCTAAAATATTTTGCATAACATGTAATAAACAAATGACAAACCTGGTTTTCCCAAGTTCAACGATACAGCAGCCATACTCCGTTCCAAAAGTTATTTTTAATATTCCTGTAATCATAGGTCTGTCTGCCATCAAGACGCTGGTCATATGAACAAAAGGAAATGTTACAAAGAAAATGTAATGCATTAAGTTAAGTTATAAAATGCTTAAATGGAACATCTATGTATTATATTGACTAGGAATGCACCGATTCTGAGTACTCGTGAAAATGCTCCCAATACCTGAAACCAATACTTTGCGTTGTGATTTGTGTCAATACAAAATGCAAGGACACAAACTGCACTGCAAAGAATAGCATGCAACTTGAAGAGGAATACGATTCCTTTGAAAACCAAATGCAGTTTGCCCACTGTTCCTGTGTGAACCCAGGCTTGCCATAGCCTGAGTTCACACAGGAGTGGTGCAGGAAACCTCCCTACACTGATCCCATACTGTCACAGAAGGAATAGTTGGGGATTTTAAATCCCCGTGGCTCTCTCTCCTCTCACAGTAGGGATAAAAGTGCAGGCTAGACGACTTTTGATTGGTCAGCACCGCCACGGTACCTCTGGACTTCTTTCTGTCCCTGTTCAAATTTCCAATGGGGCACATCAGGGTTGCTTGCTTTCCTCGCAGCTATACATAACTGCCATGGAACACCTAGCAAATGCCCTGAGGGCTAACTATTCCATCCGAGACATCGACATTAAAGTCCACTAATACAAACTGAGTCTGTTCACAGATGATTTATTATATGAATCCAATCCTCAGGTCGCGTTTCCTTCTATTTTTAAGGAACTAGAGACATTTGGTTCCTTTAGCAACTTCAAATTAATGCCTGTAAATATTAGTGTCCCAATGTTTCACTGCACTCTATCATCCAGACATTGCCTTATGATAGTTTCCCTTATTCCAAATGGACTCGGGGGGGGGGGGGGGGGGGTTCCTCAAATATTTAGGAGTTCAGATTCTGTCACAACTTGATCAGCTTTCTGAACTTAACTATCTCCCTATTCTTACCACTACGCAGCATGGACTGCAGCAATGGACAACATTGAATCATTTGTATCTGGGGCCCCTCCCCAATTAGACAAGAGTTAAAGGGGAGCTCCAGTCTCCAGTGAAAAAAATAAAACTCAGCAGCTACAAAAACTGTAGCTGCTGACTTTTGAAAAAAATCCTTTGATCCAGCAGTGTGTTCAGCGGCCTATCTCTGTCCCCAGAAGCCAACTGTAAAGGATTTTTTCTTCACCCCAGATTTCAGTTTTCAAAGAACATATAACAAATGAAACTATATGTAAACCCAAATGCAAAAAAATCCTATATAAAGCCAAACTATGAGCAAAACACAGACCACCTTCCACTCCCTTTAGGTTGCTGGAATGAGAAAAAAAAAATCAAAAAGACTTTTTTAAAGCCGTGATAACTTGGGGCTTCATTTCTGATTCTTCTCTCCTTTTTATAAAAAGGCGGAGGGAAGTCCATCTTTAGGTGTTCACATCACTGTCTTTGAGAAACGGACACTGGTAGGGTCCTCTCAGGACCTAGAAGACAAATGATGTTAGTGTAATGGGACTATTGGGAGCCAGCCGCTATGGGCATATCCGCAGTGATGGATTAGTGGTCTCCCATACCAAGAAGGAGCTTTGGCGATGGACCCGAGTGGTAGACCTTGTTTCACAAAGTAAGAAAAAAAATGCAAGGTGTTATGGAAGGGGGTCAAGTTTTGCTCATGTTTTGGCTTTTAAGCTTTAATATAAAAGCAATTTCAAAAGCCCTTTTAAATACACTGCTCAAAAAAATTAAAGAAACACTTTGAAAACATCAGATCTCAATGGGTAAAAATATCACGCTGGATGTCTATACTGATATGGATTGGGTAATGTGTTAGGAACGCAAGGATGCCCCTTCGTTTGATGGAAATGAAAATGATCAACCTACAGAGGACCTGACTGAACTCAAAGACCCTCCGAAAATCAAAGTGAAAAAATGATGCAGCAGAAATTTCATTGCAGCAACTCAAAATGGTACTCAGTAGTTTGTATGGCCCCCACGTGCTTGTATGCATGCCTGACAATGTCGGGGCATGCTCCCAATGAGATGACAGATGGTGTCCTGGGGTATTTCCTCCCAGATCTGGACCAGGGCATAACAGCTCCTGGACAGTCTGAGGTGCAACTTGGCAGCGCCGGATGGACCGAAACATGATATCCCAGAGGTGTCCTATAGGATGTAGGTCAGGCAAGCGTGGGGGCCATTCAGTGGTATTAATTCCTTCATCCTCCAGGAACTGCCTGCATACTCTCGCCACATGAGGTCGGGCATTGTCTTGCACCAGGAGGAACCCAGGACCCACTGCACCAGCATAGAGTCTGACAATGGGTCCAAGAATTTCATCCCAATACCTAATGGCAGCCAGGGTGCCATTGTCTAGCCTGTAGAGGTCTGTGCGTCCCTCCATGGATATGCCTCCCCAGACCATCACTGACCCACCACTAAAACGGTCATGCTGAATGATGTTACAGACAGCATAATGTTCTCCATGGCTTCTCCAGACCCTTTCATGTCTGTAACGTGCTCAGGGTGAACCTTCTATCATCTGTGAAAAGCACAGGGCGCCAGTGGTGGACCTGCCAATTGCCAATCCAGCTCTATGGTGCCGGGAAGGCCACCCTCATGAAGTCTGTTTCTGATTGTTTGGTCAGAGACATTCACACCAGTGGCCTGCTGGAGGTCACTTTGTAGGGCTCTGGCAGTGTTCATCCTGTTCCTCCTTGCACAAAGGAGCAGATACCAGTCCTGCTGATGGGTAAAGGACCTTCTACAGCCATCTTCAGCTCTACTAGAGTAACTGCCTGTCTCCTGGAATCTCATCCATGCTCTTAAGACTGTGCTGGGAGACACAGCAAACCTTCTGGCAATAGCACATATTGATGTGCCATCCTGGAGTATTTGGACTGCCTGTGTAACCTCTGTAAGGTCCAGGTATCTCCTCATGCTACCAGTAGTGACACTGACCCTAGCCAAATGTAAAACTAGTGAAAAGCAGTCAGAAAAGATGAGTAGGGAAAAAAATGTCAGTGGCCTCCACCTGTAAACCATTCCTGTTTTGGGTGTCATTTCATTGTTGCCTATCTAGAGCACCTGTTAATTTCATTAACACCAAAGCAGCTGAAACTGATTTATAACCCCCCCTGCTACTTAACTGACCAGATCAATATCCCAGGAGTTTAATTGGCCTGATGCTATACTCTGATTAAACAGTGTTCCTTTAATTATTTTTTTGATCCTGCCACTAAGGTCTTTGTTCAGACACTCCCTGTCACAGGGTGACAACACTTTGTGCCTGTCCCCCAATTTTCCTCCTATGTTGTCATTATGACACAGGCATCTGATGGAAATTAGAAGTAGGGATCAGCTCAGGCTTGTTTGGACACAAGTCAGAACCCACCCAAGCTATCCCAACAGGAAGCTATCAAAGCCCAAAGCAAATGATATTCTAAATATATAACTCGCCCCGCATTTATGCAAGGGGCGTGTATATGTGCACCTTGCGGGGAAGGTCTCCACTTATTATGATTGGCTCTCAGCTTTCACAGTTTCCTGGCAGGATAGCTCAGGCATGTTCACACAGGCCTGAGCTCCTCCCTAATTACAAGAAACCATTTCTACACACATTATAGATGCATGGTCCAATGTTATCACCATCAGGCAAACTACCCTAAGAAACACTATGCAGCCATGGCTGGTGTGCATAGATTAAGCATGTAGACAGGAAGTGGTCAGACAGAAGCTGCAGAAGATCAGCAAAACTGACATGCCAGTAACCGGTTTGTCATAGCGATGACATAACAGTGTAAACAACCTCTCATGAATGGCTTTCCATTCATGAACAGCTTGCTTACTGTTTTGATGTGAATAGCCCACAGCAATCACATGGTACCTGGCTACCTGTACAATGTGATTAGCTTACCCAGTCACAGATCACAATCAAAAGCAAGCTGTTCATAAATGGAAAACCCATTCATGACAGCTAAACTTTGCTATATATAAGAACAGTGTAAAAAAAAGTAAAAATCCCTGATCCCCCCACAGTACTGTCCTGGAAATGAGATAGGCTTTCAGTATGTCAAGATTGATCAATTTTCAAATATATATATAAACATAAGAGTTTGTAGACACTAACTTTCACATAAACCAATTAACCACTTGCTGTCTGCCCTACAGCAGCTTTTACTGAATCATGTATACATACATGATTCTGCTTTCCTGGGTACGAGGTGCTCATCTACCAGTGCTGTCATTGGCTCCTTTAAATGTCAATCACCAGGTCCTGGCCAATGATTCATGGCTGGGACCAGGCAATTGGGGCAGCAACTGACAAGATAGGGATCTGTGAATCTTTCTCCTATCAACGGTGATGTGCCAGTTTTTATCTCTCTGCAAAGAGGCAGGGAGGAAAGGCAGGAACCAGTCTTGCATTTGGAGGATCAGCAGATTAGATGAGTACAGCTCAGCACTCCAATCCCCTAGGAAAAAAATTAGCAGTTAGCCCCACCGCATGGAAAAAAAAAAGAACATTTTGCCCAGAGTTCTTGCTTAAAGCAGAACTTCAGTTAAATGTTTTATTTTCCCATGCAGTGGGGTTATGCCTGCAAGGCATGGGTTAACTGCCTGTTTTGTCCTGGGGCAAAGGAAAAAGCTATACTTACCCTGTCCTCAGGAAAACCGCGCTCCCCCACATCCAGTGGTGGACTGTTGCTGCCATCCTTACATCCACAGCCGGTCTATGGATCAGATGATGTCAGGAACAGCCTATTCATAAGACCACTAGCGTGCAGGGGGCCAGGAGTGGCAGGGACTGGTCTTGCACTTGGAGGATCGGTGGATTAAGTAACAAGTGGTCTCCAAACTGTGGCCCTTTACTTGCTTTTATCTGGCCCTTGGGGCACTATTCCTCCACAATGACAAAGGATGGGCACTACTCTTCCCAGTGACACCAGGACGGGGCACTATTTTTCCCACCGACACCAGGGACGGGGCACTATTCTTCCCACCGACACCAGGGACGGGGCACTATTCTTCCCACCGACACCAGGGACGGGGCACTATTCTTCCCACCGACACCAGGGACGGGGCACTATTCTTCCCACCGACACCAGGGACGGGGCACTATTCTTCCCACCGACACCAGGGACGGGGCACTATTCTTCCCACCGACACCAGGGACGGGGCACTATTCTTCCCACCGACACCAGGGACGGGGCACTATTCTTCCCACCGACACCAGGGACGGGGCACTATTCTTCCCACCGACACCAGGGACGGGGGCACTATTCTTCCCACCGACACCAGGGACGGGGCACTATTCTTCCCACCGACACCAGGGACGGGGCACTATTTCCTCCCACCGACACCAGGGACGGGGCACTATTCCTCCCACCGACACCAAGGACGGGGCACTATTCCTCCCACCGACACCAGGGACGGGGCACTATTCCTCCCACCGACACCAGGGACGGGGCACTATTCCTCCCACCGACACCAGGGACGGGGCACTATTCCTCCCACCGACACCAGGGACGGGGCACTATTGCTCCCACCGACACCAGGGACGGGGCACTATTGCTCCCACCGACACCAGGGACGGGGCACTATTCCTCCCACCGACACCAGGGACGGGGCACTATTGCTCCCACCGACACCAGGGACGGGGCACTATTCCTCCCACCGACACCAGGGACGGGGCACTATTCCTCCCACTGACACCAGGGGACGGGGGCACTATTGCTCCCACCGACATCAGGGACGGGGCACTATTGCTCCCACTGACACCAGGGACGGGGCACTATTCCTCCCACCGACACCAGGGACGGGGCACTATTCCTCCCACCGACACCAGGGACGGGGCACTATTCCTCCCACTGACACCAGGGACGGGCCACTATTCCTCCCACTGACACCAAGGATGGGGCACTATTCCTCCCACTGACACCAAGGATGGGCACTATTAACTCTCCCACCGACACCAATGATGGGGCACTATTCCTCCACTGACATCAATGATGGGGCACTATTCCTCCCACTGACACCAATGATGGGGCACTATTCCTCCCACTGACACCAATGATGGGGCACTATTCCTCCCACTGACACCAATGATGGGGCACTATTCCTCCCACTGACACCAATGATGGGGCACTATTCCTCCCCCCACTGACACCAATGATGGGGCACTATTCCTCCCCACTGACACCAATGATGGGGCACTATTCCCCCACTGACACCAATGATGGGCACTATTCCTCCCACTGACACCAATGATGGGCACTATTCCTCCCACTGACACCAATGATGGGGGCACTATTCCCCCCACTGACACCAATGATGGGGCACTATTCCTCCCACTGACACCAATGATGAGGCACTATTCCTCCCACTGACACCAATGATGGGGGCACTATTCCTCCCACTGACACCAATGATGGGGCACTATTCCTCCCACTGACACCAATGATGGGGCACTATTCCCCTCCCACTGACACCAATGATGGGGCACTATTCCTCCTCCCACTGACACCAATGATGGGGCACTATTCCTCCCACTGACACCAATGATGGGGCACTATTCCTCCCACTGACCCAATGATGAGGCACTATTCCTCCCCACTGACACCAATGATGGGGCACTATTCCTCCCACTGACACCAATGATGAGGCACTATTCTCCCACTGACACCAATGATGGGGCACTATATTCCTCCCACTGACACCAATGATGGGGCACTATTCCTCCCACTGACACCAATGATGGGGCACTATTCCTCCCACTGACACCAATGATGGGGCACTATTCCTCCCACTGACACCAATGATGAGGCACTATTCCTCCCACTGACACCCAATGATGGGGCACTATTCCTCCACTGACACCCACCACTGACACCAATGATGAGGCACTATTCCTCCCACTGACACCAATGATGAGGCACTATTCCTCCCACTGACACCAATGATGGCACTATTCCTCCCCACTGACACCAATGATGGGGCACTATTCCTCCCACTGACACCAATGATGGGGCACTATTCCTCCCACTGACACCAATGATGGGGCACTATTCCTCCCACTGACACCAATGATGGGGCACTATTCCTCCCACTGACACCAATGATGGGGCACTATTCCTCCCACTGACACCAATGATGGGCACTATTATTCCTCCCACTGACACCAATGATGGGGCACTATTCCTCCCACTGACACCAATGATGGGGCACTATTCCTCCCACTGACACCAATGATGGGGCACTATTCCTCCCACTGACACCAATGATGGGGCACTATTCCTCCCACTGACACCAATGATGGGGCACTATTCCTCCCACTGACACCAATGACCAATGATGGGCACTATTCCTCCCACTGACACCAATGATGGGGCACTATTCCTCCCACTGACACCAATGATGGGGCACTATTCCTCCCACTGACACCAATGATGGGGCACTATTCCTCCCACTGACACCAATGATGAGGCACTATTCCTCCCACTGACACCAATGATGGGGCACTATGACACTGCCACCAATGATCCCCCCGTTCCCCCCTCCAACTGACACCAATGATGGGGCACTATTCCCCCCACTGACACCAATGATGGGGCACTATTCCTCCCACTGACACCAATGATGGGGCACTATTCCTCCCACTGACACCAATGATGAGGCACTATTCCTCCCACTGACACCAATGATGAGGCACTATTCCTCCCACTGACACCAATGATGGGGCACTATTCCTCCCACTGACACCAATGATGGGGCACTATCCCCCCCCCCCTTATACTAAAGGTAGGGCATTGCTAACTCCCACTGGCCACAGTCCGGCCCCTGTAAGGTCTGTAAACTGGTCCTTTCTTAAGACAAGCATTTAACCCATGCATTCCCGGCACAGCCCCACTGCATGGGAAGATGACACTTTGTCCTGGATTTGTTCTCTCACGGTTACATATGTATCTATATGAAGCCAGTGTGTGTACTGCTCGTACCTTTTTCTCACTGATTGCTCGCAGCAGGAAAGCTCTCTCACAGTTGGAGAGCGGAGTTTCCCTCATGCTGCCACCTCACACAAAGCTTCGTTCCGCTCACTCTCCGTACACATCAATACAGAACACTAACACACTCCGCAAAGTGCAGGAGCCACACGTGAACGTTACAGACACATTCTCTTCCGTCATCAAAAAGCGCAGATTGCCCAGGCGCTCCTCCAAAAGCTACACTTCGGACATTTTTGTGCGCATGCGCTGTCAGCAAAGCCCAATTGGGTGGGCATGGCCTTGTATCCTCTGCCAGATGCGTTTCCGGTGAAAGTTTTATGGAAGCAGATGGAGGCCATTTTCTTGTAGCTCAAAGCTACAGGAGTTAATTTGACATACAGCTGCACACTTTCTTCGATTTCCTGAAAAAATGGCAATGATTCATTCCTTTGTTGTAGTCCAGGTTCTGTTAAAGAGGAACTTCACCCTATGGGACAGGGGTTCCAAACTTTCTAAACAAAGGGTCTGTTTACTGTCCTTCAGACTTTAGGTGGTCAAGAGGGGCCAATATGAGTCAAATTTGCCCTATCATTGGTATCAGTGAGTGGAATAGTGCCCTATTCATGGTATTGGTGGGAGGAAATGCCCCACCATTGGTGTCTGAGAAATAGTGCTGTCTTTGGTGTCTGAGGAATAGTGCTGTCTTTGGTGTCGGAGGAATAGTGCTGTCTTTGGTGTCAGTTGGAGGAATAGTGCTGTCTTTGGTGTCAGTGGCAGAAATAGTCCACTGTCTTTGGTGTCAGAGGAATAGTGCTGTCTTTGGTGTCAGTTAGAGGAATATTGCTGTCTTTGGTGTCAGTGGCAGAAATAGCCCCGTCTTTGGTATCAGTGGAAGGAATAATTCCCCATCATTGGTGTCAGTCAGAGGAATAGTGCCCTATTGTTGGTATCAGTGGAAGTAAGAGTGCCCCATCATTGGTGTCAGCGGGAGGAATAATTCCCCATCATTGGTGTCATGGAAGGAATAGTTTGCCACCATTGGTGTCAGTGGGAGGAATAATGCCCCATTATTGATATCAGTGGAAGGAATAATGTCCCATCACTAGTGTCAGTGGAAGGAACAATTCGCCATCATTGGTGTCAGTGGAAGGAACAATTCCCCATCATTGGTGTCAGTGGAAGGAATAGTTCCCCATCATTAGTGTCAGTGGAAAGAATAGTGCCCCATCATTGGTGTCAGTGAAAAGAATAGTGCCCCATCCTTGGTGTCAGTGGAAAGAATAGTGCCCCATTGTTGGTAAGAGTGGCAGGAACCCACTGTAGGTGTCAATGGAAGGAATAGTGCCTTGTATCTTTGTGAGGAATAGTGCCTCAAGGGCCAGATAAAGGCAAGCAGAGGGTCCCATCTCCATCTCCATCCTTTGGAGACCACTGCTATAGGGAAAGTTCTGCTTTATGTCCTCCTCCCCCTCATTTTCTTTTTTGGAACTTTTTTTTTTGTAGCACAGGGCAGTGGGTACCTAGTTTCGATAGGTACCCACTCGCACTTACAGTCTGACTGTGTAGGCGATTCCACCAGAAGTTCTATATCCCTCCTCCCTGCCCACAGCCTTCTAGGACACATCACATAGAGCAGCGCAGCTCACACATGTGCAGTGGGGAGCCCACTGTGAAGCCGCAAGGAGTCATAGCTGGCATTCCACACTAAACATATATGTAAAATAATAGTGTAGCGCTCATAACAAATCAATAAATAAAACGTGACTCTTCACTCAAAAAAATAAGGGAAATAAAAATTATACAATGTGGCTCTCACTTCAATATTGCAAAACATATATATAGTGTCAGACGTAAAATGAATATCTGTGCCCCTTGCTCCAAATTGTGCTCAACACTAAATAAACACAATACTCAAAAAGTGCCTTTCACTTAAAAACAAACGTGCATATATATATTGACCATATATGCAAAAAAAAAAAAACCCTTAACAAGCATGGGGCTAAACATATAGTGCTAAAAGTGCAAACAAAAAAGTGTTCACTCTTCAAACTGATCATAAAAAAGTCCAAACTGTGAAGAATGTAATCATGCAATGTGCAATGGTATTCAACCATTCCGTGATTGTGCCAAAAACTTTTCTTCTGTTTGCGGCTAGATTGCCTCCTCACCTCCTCCCTGTGACCCCAAGGGGCCAACACGCTTGCAGGATCACCCTGGATCCTTAAATCATATGGATCAGCAGCCTTCTTCCTCCAGTAGGTCTCCTTCGGGGCTCCTATTGCCCCTAAACAGCCCAGATGCCTCTAGGGAACAGTGGCTCACCCGCCCAGTGAGCCAAAAAAGAGAGACCCTCTAAGTGTAGTATTAAATGCAGATATAGCTCCTTTATTGAGAACAAAGGAAAGACACTCACATAATCCGCAGTTCTCCCTCCTCACCGATGTGTGGGTATACTGCATATGTGGAGGACTTCCTGGGTATACCAAGATGGCGTCACACGCCGGAATTGCGTCACCGCGCACCGGAAACTGCGCTCTCGCGTACATACACGTTACATCACTGTCTCTCGTGACTTCCTATGTGTAGATATTTAGATCTAGCTTGTATTTTGATACGTAAATTTAATTGTCACATTATAGACAGTGTGGATGTAATGGTTGTTAGGTAAAAGCAAAAAACTTGCACACTGTAAATAGTGTTGCTGTGTTCTGTTAGTTAGGTCTGCTCAGTTTGCTCAGCTGCTGCTAGCCTAATAGCTCCCTCTGCATCCAGAAAGCTTGAGAAGTTTCTGGATATTAGATGCAGATGGCAGCGTGAATATTAAGACAGCCCCTGCCTATCCCAGAGAGGCTGCCTATGATGGCACCTGGGTACCTGCATATATTCAGTGAGCACACTGTGTTCTGGGCCTTCCATGTGTAGGATTGTTTCAGCCTAGGAGAGGGCATGTTGTTCCCACATGGAAGAAAAATATATTTGAAATATATTTTTAAAATATTCTTCCCAAATATATTGATATACTGTATATTTGAAATGCTACAATTTTGGCCATATTCAATATATTTCAAAATATATATATATATATATATACACACTGTATGTTGCAATGCGTTTTTATTACAAAATATATGAAAAATATTTTTAAAAATACATTTCAAACATACTGTATGTCTTTAAAATTCAAATCTACATTTTTGGAATGCATTTACAAATATATTTAAAAATATATCTGAAGAATATATTTTAAAAATATATATTTTTTAAATATATTCTTCAGATTTTTTTTAACCTACAAAAAAGTCATATTAACATATATTTTTACATATATTTGTAAATGCATTCCAAAAATGTAGATTTGTATTTTTAAAGACATACAGTATATTTGAAATGTATTTTTAAAATTATTTTTCATATATTTTGTAATAAAAACACATTTCAACATACAGTATGTGTATATATATATATATATATATATATATATATATATATATATATATTTAGTGAAATATGTTGTTAATGTATTTGAGAAGAATATTTTTAAAATATGTTTCAAATACATTTTTCTTCCATATGGGTCTTCCCAGGCAGCTAGTGCTGTGCGGCCTCAGGTGGGCGACCTGAGAGCCTGAATGCTGAGACCCAGGTTCTACTAAAGCTGACTAAAGGCCATCTACTGAACATCTGGTCTGGTATCACAGAGGAAGCTGTCCATCTGCTCTTGGACCTTGTGAGTACAGACACCTTTAAAGGATGTAAGAGACTGTGTGCTACTTAACCCCCTATTGTGGTAGGGAGGCAGCTGCGGGTCTAGGCTAAAGGGGGCACCGCCTGGTGCTCCGAAGAGCTTTGTCCATTTCATATCCTACTTCAAGGGAGTCTGCTCAAGCTTGCTACTACTTTTACTACTGCTGCCTTAAAGGTGAAGTTTACTGTTTGCCTCAAGCACAGACTTCATCACAGCTTATCCTAAAGAATATCTAAAGTCCTCAAGTGTACATAGTTCTTGTTCTTGGAGTATTCCACCTAAATCCCCATCCCTATCCAAGTTCTCCAAAAATATAAACAACACCTCTAGACTAGTCATTGAAGAAAAGTGTGCCTGGCTGCGGGGCAAAGTATTTGGGGAAGACCTGAACAGTATTCCCGTGGCTCCTACAGGAGAAGCACTACAGAAATATGCTTGATTTTCTCATTAATGTTACCATTTTTTTCAACGACAGCTTTAAACTAAATCAACAAGCTAAAGTTTACATGAACAGTACCTAGACTTATTACCTCTGTAACATTCCATTATGAAATGTAATGCTCCAGAGAGCAATACATAGCAAGCTGAATGTGGTATGAAGCATGATATGAAACAATACAAGGTGAAATAAGTGCTGTTATCTCACATTTGCAACACTGTCCACTGTATGAGCACTAATAGCTGCAAATCTCAGAACACATTTGCTACAGCATATGAGATCTTCATATTTGAAAGGGCAGCCAGTCGAATGCTGACAGATGTCTCTCCACTGCTAGTAAAAAACAAAAAACAACAGTGTCCTTGCTGAAGCCTGCCTCTAGGCATCTGACGTGTTTGTCAATTAATTCCTTAATAAAAAATATTTAATTAAAACTGTTCCATTCAGGGATCAGTGACACACACCCATTTATGAAGGTTCTGAACTCCCAGCAATAGAGAAGGAATCCAAGGAGCCAACTAGACATTTGTTTAGTGTGGATGGAACTGGATTTGTTACTTGAAATATTTTGATCGAGAGGACAACCATTCCAGACAAATCAATTTACTCCATGGAACTGTGGACAGCAAAGTGCTTTCTAGCATTGCCATGGTCTGGAATCCACATTTCTTAGTCTATGTAGCCCTGTTCTTCTTTTTGCTGTTTTTGCTGATTCTCCTGATCTTTGTCTTAATTTGCCAGCTGAAGGATTCCATAACTAGCAAACCTGTTTTACAGTCAAAACATTTAATGAGTTTTAGAGAAGATAAGGCAACCGACCCTGTTCTGCTTATTTCATCTAAGACTCACTTATAATAATCGTACTCCATGGATAATGGTAAGTTTTTACCAGGT